TTCAGTAGCAGCAATATATTCAGATTCAGTAGTTGATAAAGCAACAACATGTTGAAGTTGTGAGTTCCAACTAACACATGAATTACACAAAGTAAACGCATAGCAAGATGTAGATTTCCTATTATCTCTATCACCAGCATAATTAGTATCAGTAAAACCTTTCAATTTTACACCTTCAGTACTAAACTTATATATTAAAGCAGCATTGCATGTTCGTTTCAAATATCTTAACAACCATTTTAAAGCTTACCAATATTTGGGACCAGGGTTGGACATATACCTACTAAGTGTACTAATAGAAAAGGCTAAGTCAGGTCTAGTACAAACCATTAGATACATAACAAAACCAATAGCATTAGAATATGGAATCTTTTTCATATATTCCTCTTCCTCTTCCTCTTCCTCTTCATTAGCAGGTGATTGTTTAGATAATATGAAATGATTAGCTAAAGGTAATGTAACTGGTTTACATTCATTCATGCTAATTTTTCTCAAAATTTTCATGATATATGGAGTTTGATGCAAAAACAAAAATGAATTAGATCTATTTATTTGAATTTCCATGTCTAAGATTCTTTTAGCATTTCCTAAGTCTTTCATATCAAATTTAGTATTCAAAGTAGTCTTAATATCATTNATAAAATGATTAGCTAAAGGCAATGTAATAGGTTGCATTCCAAATTTCTTTAACACTTTTGAAACATATGAGGATTGATGTAAAAACAAGACAGAATTTAACCTATCTCTTTCAATTTCCATACCTATGGTTCTTTTAGCCTTTCCTAGGTCTTTCATGTCAAATTTACCATTCAAACTTGTTTTTATGTCATTTATCCATTTAGGTGATGAACCAACTAAGAACATATCATCCACATATAGTAATAAAAACACATAGTCATTATTAGCATCATTATGTTGGAAGTAAAGGCAATGACCAAACTTACTATGATGACCATATGGATAGTACAAAATAATCAAATATTTTATACCACTGTCTGGGTGATTGTTTTAAGCCATATAAATATCTTTTCAAGAAGCAGACATGATCAGGTTTTAATTTGTCTTTAAAACCTCTTAGTTGATTCATAAAGATTTGTTCATCAAGTTCACCATGTAAAAAAGTAGGTTTTATATCAAGTTGTTCAAGTTCCCTATCAAAATGTGTAGCCAATGCAAGTATGACTCAAATAGTAGTGTACTTAACAATAGGTGAAAAAATTTCGTTATAATCAACCCCCTCATTCTGAGTGTACCCCTATGCCACTAACCTAGCCTTAAACCTTAAGGGTTCAAATGCATTAGTACCCTCCTTAACCTTAAATACCCATTTACAGTCAATAGTAGATTTATTTTTAGGTTTAGGTACTAGCTCTCAAATTTGACTCTTTTCTAAAAAAACTCATCTCATCTTTCATTGCCTTAAACCACTCTTCAGATTATTCACTTTTCATCGTCTCCTTAAAGGTCTTTGGCTCTTTATCAGCGAACTCCTCATAGCTCGCATGAGCAAAAGGTAGCCTACATTTATAATCAAATCTTATGGGTGCTCTAGACTATCTCATCTCTCTATCCCTATCTGAGTTATAATCGGCTAAAGGATTCTCTTCTTCAGGGTGTTCTTCTATTATTACTTCCTCGCTATTCTTCATGTCAGGTTGTTGTTCCTGAGTCTCCACCTCACTCTGTGTAACATGGATGGATGTGCTAAGTTTCCCTAACTCCATATTCAACTTATTTATCTCTTCACCTTGTTTTTCTTCACTCATAGGTTCAAATTCAGTTTTAAGGCACGATATTTCGTTCTCATTGAATGTAAGATCTCTATTCACAATGATCTTAACCCCCTTTTGGCTCCTATCCCTCAACCCGTAACTCTTAACATCCTCAAGGTAACCTAGAAAAATACATATTCTAGCTCTAAGTTCAAGTTTTCCCTCACTCTGATGAGAAAATGCAGTGTACCCAAAAGTTCTAAGCATAAAATAATCACTTAGTTTACCAGACCATTTTTCATGCGGAGTATCACCATTCAATGCAGTAGATGGAGTCAAATTAATCAAATAACAGACAGTCATAACAGCTTCACCCCAAAAAGATTTAGGAATACCAGAACTCAATATCATACATTTGCTTATAACTGTGATGGGGGTGGGGATTTAGAGATCGATTCAAACAAGTAGTGAGATTCTAAAGGCGTGCGTGAGCACATAAGGGAAATGAGAGACATTGCTACTCGTGTTAAATCCCTGGAGTTAGAGATTTCTGAGTCATTCCTTGTTCATCTCATTTTGAACTCTCCCTACAGAATGGTCCATTCAAAATATCATATAACACACATAAGGAAAAATGGACTGTAAATGAACTCCTGACAATGTGTGTTCAAGATAAAGAGAGGTTGAAACATGAGAAGTTGGAAACTGCTCATCTGATAAAGGAAATGAGAACAAGGGTGAATACGGTCCTAAAATGAAGAACAAGATATCAATGAAGCAAAAGGGGAATAAGGATATTTGTTTCTTTTGTAAGAAGAAATGGCATATAAAGAAGGACTGTTTGAAGTATAAGAAATGACTCTAAAATAAAGGTGCTCTCATCTCTTTGGTGTGTCATGAATATCTTTTGGTTAATGTTCCAAACAATACATGGTGGATTGATTCAGATACTTCAATTCACATTGCCAATATCATGCAGGGTTTTCTGGACCTAAGGAAACTGCAACCAAATGAATAAAGAGTCTATTTTGGAAACCAATTGAGTTCAACTGTTGGAGGCGTGGGAACATTTAGATTAGTTTTGAATTCTGGTTTTCATTTGGATCTTAAAAATACCTTTGTATATATGGTTTGGAAGTATTTGAGTGGATTGTTGATGGTTGGTATTTTGGAATTTGAGAATGAATGATGTTAGGTCAAAGGAAAACGACTTGCTTTGATATCAAAATGATACATGAACTTAACAATTTGTCAACGAACAATTGAAGAAGAAAAGAAACGAGAAAGAAAAAGGGGTTTCAAGAAGGGGAAAAAAACAGATCAGGACGAGAAAATCAATTTATTTCATGTATTCAAGGGTATTATTACAATGAATAAACCCTCTTTATATAGAGCAACTATGCTAAAATCAAAAGAACTTCTAATAAGTTAGAACTTTATCAAAATATTAAAACTAATTTAATCTAATCTACACTAACATAATTTGAATTTAACTCAATTTTAAAAATCCTATCTAAACTATATCTTTATCTCCATCACCCACACTGTAGCTCATGTTCTAGAAGATCTTGCTTACAAACAAAATATAACATCACCAACAAAAAGGTAAGCCATAGTCCCAATGAATTTGGGGTCAGCCATGTGAACCATTTTCGAGATTATGTCATAAGATTTGACAAAGTTTTATGCTATTTATCCTTTATCCGGACTCGGGACTTGCTATGAGAAAAACACGGGAAGATTTTTGGATACACGCCAACCAAATATATGAAGTTTCTCGATAGAATTTTGACAAGACAATTTAAACATTTATGAAACCAACATAATACTCAAGTTAAAGCCCAAGTTTGAAATATGTTTCAGGATAGATTTTATGCTAACTAGGCATACTGCATTTTTTGTCGACCCAAAAATAGCTGCATGCAGTAGGGTTTTCAGGATTTCTTTATAAACTTGTTACTTATCTGCTAACTTGTAATAAGTAATAACCATTTTAGGTACGTTATGTAATTTCGTATAGGTCTTGCATTTAGCTTTGCCTTTGAACTGCTGTGTATTTGGCAGATGGGAAATCTTGTAGAGTATAACGTACCGTTTATTCCTAAAAGTAAGGAATGGAAAGAATTTTGCTTCAGGTTTCTTTAGTTCACCTCCTTAGGTAGATAGTAACTTTTATGTTTACAAAGTTGCTTGCCCTTATTTAATGCTACCTCGGGAATTACTTATCCTTGATAGTTTGTTTTATTGCAAATAGAGGTTTAATGATTTAAAAGCTCTTACAGAAGAGATTCCACTTGCTATGCTTATGAGTTGATAGTTTATTTACTGGACAGTTCATTATGAAGGCGTTCTTGCCGAGACTGGTGAGGTTTTTGATACTACACATGAAGATAATACCATCTTCACCTTTGAACTGGGCCAGGGCTCTGTGATTAAGGCTTGGGACATTGCACTGAAAACCATGAAGGTGTATGTTCATGCTTTCAATAACTATTACTGGAGTTTCTACCATAACTTGATTTTCTTGCCTTAGTTGGCTATTATTCTTGATTCTTGAGAATAAACATCTAAAATATTTTTGTCTTTCACTGGTTCTTCCAGGTTGGTGAGGTCGCAAAGATCACTTGTAAGCCAGAATATGCATATGGCAGCGCTGGTTCTCCACCAGATGTCCCCCCAGAGTATTGGCTTTCTTCTTTAATCTTGACTTGTTGCATGAACATAATCTATGAATGATTACATTGTAAAAACAAGTTTTTTTAAGTTCGGAAAGAAAAGTGAAGGAAACTCATCATTTTGAAACCTCTCGTAACTTTGGGTCAGGATGACAAATCGTGGGGAATGCTTGGTTTTATGAAAAACATCCCTCATTTCTTGTCCCCTTAAATAAATAAGATTATTGTAAGGAATTTTCAATCGCCCACCCACCCATCCATTTTTCCTTTACTAATTATTACTCAACTTTCCTTTCAACCAAACATGGTTATTTAGGATAGTTTCTTGGAAAGTTGATGAAAATGAATAGTCATTGAAGAGAAAAATATGTGGTTGAAAGTTTCCGGAAAGGTTACGATTTTGCAGGAAAGATGGTGTAAATAAGCATTTCTTCGATTTTTAAATTTTCCACTATCCCCATTATTGAGATGCTCAAGCTCGATATCATACATATTGCTTATGTTCTTCCAACAATGTTAGTCTTCTTTCCTTAAGAAAGCACTAAGAAAGAGAGAAGTGTTCGCATCAAGTATTTTCAATTCTTTCCTTGGAAACAAAATGCTGGAAATTTCGAATAAATTCCCTTTACCTTCCTTTCCTTTCCCTTCTCCTTTGCCCAAGCACTAACTACACTTTGGATACTAGGAAGGTTAATAAAGTCAAAATATTTTCCGTGTTTGTTTGGTTGAATAAAACTTTAAAAGAAAAAAAGATGGTTGTTGATGGAAAACTGTGTGGTTTAATTTTCCTCGCGAGATTCCTATATTTTTGGACCAGAAAATTGGATGTTTTCCTCCAGAAAAGTATTTTCAGTTATTTTCTTGTAACTAAATGGGGAATTTTTGAACTAGTTCTTTTTTTTTTTTTTTTCTAAAATGGAATTTTTGTCTCTCGTCGAAAATTTTATTAAATATGGTCATTCAATGATTGTGGTGCCCTTTATTGAAACGTCATCTAGGCTATCTGTGCAAAGTTGACGAGTAAGACTAGTGTGTTTAAATGGACTTGGAACTCTTATCAACTTTTCCTAGTTTAACGAGAATGCTTAGATGGTTCGAAATTCGTGCAAAAAAGAAGAGAGGGAGTGTCTAAAAGTAAATAGACTCGAAATTTTTGTTAACTTTCCCTAGTTTAACGAGAATGCCCATATGGTTCGAAATTCGTGCAAAAGGGTAGAAAGTGTGTCTTAATGTAAATAGAATAGAAATGGAATTTTGCCTAGTTTAATGAGAATCCCCATATGGTTTGAAATTCTTACAAAAAGAAATGGGGAGAGTTGGTTACATATCTGAGGAGAGAAGGGATATATTTGTCAAAAAGTTTAAAAGTTGGAATGTACAATTCCAAAAGTAGTGGCTACAAAATTCATTTTCTCACTCAAAAGTGTTCTATGGGGGAAATAAATGTCTTCAATTTGAATTGACTTTCCCGCTCTTCTCTATTTCAGCCTTATAATAAGAATATTTGGGGGCGTAGTGTCCCCTCTCCGAAAGCTAAATTTGTGCTTCCTGTTGAGACTAGCAGTAACGGCAAAAATGAAAGCTATGTGATCAAAGTCTTCTCATTATTGAGCTTGTAAAGATGTACACATTTTAACTAGCTAAAATCTTGATTGTAAAAGAATGTTCTTGTAGGCTTGTTCTGATTGGAATCTTGATATGAAGTTTGCCTCCCTTTACTTGTGTCCATGTTTCCCATATCTTTTAGTTTGCTTCATATGTGATAGATAATCATGAACCTTTTGTGCCTCTCCTGATATCAATCAATTACTGTTCGGAGCACTCAATTTTTTAACTGGTAATAGTTTGTAATTATTGATATCTAGCAATCTAAATTTATGGTTTTTCATTGATATGATGCAGTGCAACTCTTGTTTTTGAGGTGGAGTTAGTCGCTTGCCGACCTCGAAAGGGCTCGAGTCTAAGTAGTGTTTCAGATGAAAAGGCTCGACTGGAGTAAGTTATAATGTTTCATTGTTTGGGTCTACATGCTTTTGTGATTACCACACTTCGTTTACTTTTCTAGTGGGGCATCAGCTTTTGAACTGAATCATGAATTTTCACAACACGTTGAAGAGGGAAATCACATAATGCATGATGTGTTGTCATACTTATAATTATTACCAAGGTAAAGAAAGTTACAAGTGCCACAACCAAACTACCTGCAGCAATAAAATTTCACGACGTGACCAATATGTGGAAAAGTAGTTGATTGTTAATCGTAGTCGAGAATTCTTGAATTTTTTCCCATTCGATAGAGTCGAGTTGATTTAATTAATTCAGTACAGCGATTACAAGTTTGTCCTGTTAAAACAGTGCTTTTCTTTCTAGACTACACTCGAATGATGTTTCATAAGTTGAATAAGACAGAATTGAAGAGAAAACAAAGTTGAAATCTTTTTTGTTGTCCCATGTCTTGTTCATTTGCATACCAATAACATTTGAAACTGATGGTACTAATTCAATAAACTGTGAAATTTCTTCAGGGAGCTTAAGAAGCAGAGGGAACTTGCAGCCTCTGTCAAAGAGGAAGAGAAGAAGAAAAGGGAAGAAGCAAAGGCAGCGGCTGCTGCTCGGATTCAAGCTAAGCTTGAAGCAAAGAAAGGTCAGGGCAAGGGAAAGGGCAAATCCAAATAGGATATCTAGATATTGTCCTATGTTGAAGACATAATTTTGGATGGAGTTACTTACCTACTATAATTCAGTATTCAGAGTATTATTCAAATAAGCCCAATCTTAATGAGGCAGTTTAATCACCTGAGTTGTACTCAAATATTAACAGCGGTGCCATATATTTACCATTTCAATAAAAGATTTTATGAAGTCTGTCTAACAATGCTGCTAAAGCTGATCCTATTTGAGACCCATTAATTTATTAGTCACCTTGATATTGAATTACTTGAAAATGTTGTGAACGAAAAATTGCTGCCGAAGCCATATCTCTAAAAGTTTCAAGTTTTAATTATTAGAGAGCAAAGAAATTTGTTCATTTTTATGTGATTTTTCCATTTAAAACTCGTTTTTATTAAAAGGTAACATAATTCTCGTAGTTGTGGCATTGAGACTTCAATTTATAACTCTGTATGCTCTAGAAAATTTATTGAAGAAATTTAATTACTTGTACCTTAATGTTTATTTTTGTTTCTTTTATTGTTTTGACAATTTCTCCATTCTCTTCAATTATTTGGCATTGTACACGAATCAAAAGACATTTTTGCTTTAGATTGTTATTGTTTTTTAGAATGATCAACTATTTGGCATTGTATCCATTCGCTGGGCCCGAATGGATAGACATCACGTTTCTTCAAAAAGTCTTAGGGGATTGTTGGTAATGAGTTTACGGGAGCGGTTCAAGAACTCTTTAATTCTAGTACTATTCTTAGGCAAACGAATCAGTTGTTGCTTTGGTTCCTAAGGCAAGTCACTCAACTTCCATGGGAGATTATAGACCGATTGTATGTGGTAATGTGTTTAACAAGGTTATCACTAAGATCCTTGCTCCCTGATTGGGCCAATACTTGGGACAATCATTGATCAAGCACAAGCCGCATTTGTGGAGGATAGGAGCATGACGGAGAATATTTATCTTGCTCGAGAGTTTTTGAGATAATAAAATCTTTAAAGGTTCGTTCCAAAATGCCTTCTTAAAATAGATCTAAGGAAGGCATAAGATTCAGTTAATTGAGACTTTCTAAAAAGTGTGTTGAAGGGATAGGATCTCCAAAAAAAATCGTTGGATGGGCAATGGAATGTATTACTTCATACTCTATTGCACTTAATGGTAGCCTTTATGGATTCATAAAAGGAAGGGGCTTTGTCAAGATGATCATTTATCACCTTTCTTGTTGGTTCTTTGGCTTGAATATCTATCAAGAATGTTGAAGGAAGCAACTGAGAATATTGACTTTAATTTTCATCCTAAATGTGGTCCCTTAAAGATAACACGCTTGGCTTTTGCAGACGATTTAATGCTTTTTGCAAGAGGAGATTTAATATCGGTTAAAATCTCGATGTATTGTTTATCAGAGTTTGAAGATGTATCGGGACTAAGGATGAATGTTTGCAAATCGAGCTTGTATACGGCTGGAATTCATGGGCAATAGTCAGAGGAAATTCAGGAATTAACTAATATACCTAAGGAATCTATGCCATTTCGTTATTTGGGAATTCCACTCGTGGCCGAAAAACTGAAAATCAGCTCCTACGGCCCGTTTTTAGACAGAATTAAAGTGTGTACTTGTGCCTGGAAATGCTCCATGTTGTCTTACGCTGGAAGGGCTAAGCTTGTGCGGGCAGTTCTTCAAGGGGTAGAATGCTTTTGGCTGTCCATATTTCCTATCCTAGCCACGAGTATACCAAGAGTTGTTGGATTGTGCCGGAACTTTCTCTGGGGTCCCAAAAAGCTGTTAGTAGCATAGAAAAATGTATATATACCGAAATGTGAAGGTGACCTTAGGCTATAGAGAAATCAAAAGTTGGAATCAAGCTTTGCTTGCGAAATCTCTATGAAACATTCATAAAAGACACTCTTTGGGTAAGATGGATCAACCACGTCTATCTTCGTGGGTCTGAAATCTGGGACTCCTCACCGAAAAAGAGAACGTACGTGTTAAACGTGCTTGCATGTTTAATTGAATTCTAAGTTTTAAAACTTACTTGAAAATTCCAAAACGAGGTTGAATCACTTGTCTTTTGATTGCTTGCTTTCCATACCATCTTCTATCTGCTTTTTGGTCAAAAACTCGATCACCCAGGAAGGAGTTTGATGTTCACAATCCAAGAAATGTGAGATGTTATATTTCCAAAAATCAAGCTTAAAATCTCGATGTATTGTTTATCAAAGTTTGAAGATGTATCGGGACTAAGGATGAATGTTTGCAAATCGAGCTTGTATACGGCTGGAATTCATGGGCAATAGTCGGAGGAAATTCAGGAATTAACTAATATACCTAAGGGATCTATGCCATTTCGTTATTTGGGAATTCCACTCGCGGCCGAAAAACTGAAGATCAGCTCCTACGGCCCCTTTTTAGACAGAATTAAAGTGTGTACTTGTGCCTGGAAATGCTCTATGTTGTCTTACGCTGGAAGGGCTAAGCTTGTGCGGGCAATTCTTCAAGGGGTAGAATGCTTTTGGCAGTCCATATTTCCTATCCTAGCCACGAGTATCCCTAGAGTTGTTGGATTGTGCCGGAACTTTCTCTGGGGTCCCAAAAAGCTGTTAGTAGCATAGAAAAATGTATGTATACCGAAATGTGAAGGTGACCTTAGGCTATAGAGACATCAAAAGTTGGAATCAAGCTTTGCTTGCGAAATCTCTATGAAACGTTCATAAAAGACACTCTTTGGGTAAGATGGATCAACCACGCCTATCTTCGTGGGTCTGAAATCTGGGACTCCTCACTGAAAAAAGAGAACTTACGTGTTAAACGTGCTTGCATGTTTAATTGAATTCTAAGTTGTAAAACTTACTTGAAAATTCCAAAACGAGGTTGAATCACTTGTCTTTTGATTGCTTGCTTTCCATACCATCTTCTATCTGCTTTTTGGTCAAAAACTCGATCACCAAGGAAGGAGTTTGATGTTCACAATCCAAGAAATGTGAGATGTTATATTTCCAAAAATCAAGCCTCCACCATCTACTTTTTTTTAAACATTTCAAGAAACCTGAATATATATATATTTAGGAGCATACAATGTTATCTGCTTTTTGGTCAAAAACTCGATCACCAAGGAAGGAGTTTGATGTTCACAATCCAAGAAATGTGAGATGTTATATTTCCAAAAATCAAGCCTCCACCATCTACCTTTTTTTTAACCCTTTCAAGAATCCCGAATATATATATATAGGAGCATACAATGCTATACACCCACTAGAGATATATATCAATTCTACAAGAGAAATATATTTTCACGCTATACCCCAGACATATTTTGTAACATCAATTAGAGTATTTCTAATCCCTTAATAAACCAAAAAACATACTCAACTTTCTCATTTATATTTTATTCACAATTATATCGCAAAACTCAAATAATTGACACAATTGTCAGGCCGGTAAATACAAACTGAGATGTTAGATAAAATAGTCTTCATTTCCTACTTGAATACCTTAATTTCAAATTAGTTTCTTTTTTAGACATGTTCCATCAAACCGAATCAACTATAGTTATTGACAACATGTTAAAGTAGCAACAACAAAATAAAAAAATTTCGAGAAACAGTCAAAGGCCATAAGAGTATAAAACTGAGGTCATAAGTGCTCGGAGACTCACACAGTGAAGAAGTAGTGATCAATTCTTTCATTTCTCATTGCTCATTAAAGTACACGTGGTACGAAACACGTGTTATGATATTTTCTCCCTTTTTTAGGGTGTACGTCTAATCTTACAAATAAAATATACCATACAAATCATAGTTTAGATATTCCTCGATATCTAACATGAGTTCTCCTTATATTTATTCCTCTAGGCAGTCCCAATCAATAACTCGATCTGGCTATAGAACAGGTTTTATGGATAGCAAAAAATCCATATCGATTACTTCTTGTAATCTCATCTTAATATCTCATCAATGCGACTGGATCATGTACACAATATGATCATTGAGTCTCATCTCAGCACACCTCAAAGTGTCTGAGGAGATTGTTCGTGTAAGTAAACCAATCTCAACATGTTTGACATATTTTATGTGTGTATATTAAATAATAATCTAAAAATTATGATAGAAGATTACTCTTAACATATGAACTCAAATATTATTTATTAATAGACTTATATAAAATGTTTACATAGTACATAATTCAAATACTACACAATCCCAGAGATTTAACATGAGTCATAAAAACATCTTTAGGGATCGGTTTTAGAAATGGATCAACTACCATTTGGTTCGTAGAAATATATTGTAAACTCACTTCCTTCTTTCTTATGATGTCTCTTACAAAATTATATTTTGTATCAATGTGTTTGGTTCTGCCATGATATTTGGGATCCTTTGTATATGCAATAACTGCTTGACTATCACAATAAATCAATATACGTCCCACATCACCACTAAGGACTCTTGGATGCTGTAAGAATTTCCTTAACCAAACAGCTTCATGTACCATTGAAACACAAGCTACCAATTCTGCTTCCATTGTAAACAAGAAAACACATGTCTGTTTCTTGCTACTCTAAGAGATGACACCATTATTAAGCAAGAATGCATATTTCGAAGTTGATTTGCCCTCATCTAGGTCTCTAACCCAATCAGCGTCGTGTATCCTTTTAAACACAAATCATTCACTTGATAGCATAAGGGGTAATTAGTAGTACCATTCAAGTATCTCAATATCCTCTTAATAGCTTTTCAATGCTCTCTTCCGGTATTAGATTGATATTTGCTGACTAAACCTACAACATAACAAATGTTGGGGTGAATACACATCATAGTGTACATCAAACTCCCAACCACATTGGAGTATGAAACTCTGGACATTTCTTCTTTTTCCTCAAGAGTTTTAGGACACATACGAATCCTTAACCAAACAGCTTCATGTACCGTTGAAACACAAGCTACCAATTCTGCTTCCATTGTAAACAAGAAAATACATGTCTGTTTCTTGCTACTCTAAGAGATGGCACCATTATTA